CCGTCATTTTGTGATACCTGTTTCCCCTGGAGTGATTTTTTTTTTTTTTTTAGAGGTTTTTGCTGTAGGGTGCGTGCACTCACCTGACAGAGAGATAGAAAGCGAGAAATCACCCCCCAGGGGGGATGGCCACCCCGCAATCCATTCTCCTCTCGGGATCTTGGGCACGCACACACACACGCCCGGCATGAGTTTTAAGCTACCGGGTCTGGGACGCAAACCGCAGTCGACTACGTGGGAATCCAGCGACAGCCATTACGCTAACTGCTGGTCCCAGGAAGTGATTTTTTTTTTTAATCACACAAGAAAATGGAAATGACCAGGCTGGTGTCTTGGGAAGACTCCAGTCATGGTGAGGAGGGAGCCTGGCATAGACAGAGGAGTGGGGAGGGCATGAGCCTGGGCTCAGAGGCCCTGCGGCTTCACAGGGAAGGTGGTTTCTTCCTGCTTGGGAAACTCCCAAGGATTGGCCTTTGAGGTGGGGGCTTGGTCCCAGACTCTGTCTGCAGAGGGGACCTGTGTCCTCGGGCCTCTCAACAGCCAGAGCCACACCCACCCAGCTGCATCCTGGCCCCCCTGGCCGTCCCCTGAGATCCAGGGCTCACCGTGACCAATGTGATTCTAGCTCTGAGCCTTCCTTCTGAGCCTTCCACTCCGCCCGGAGAGCGGGGGCCTCCTTGTCATTCCAGTTCTATTAGATGTGTTTGGAGAAGCTGCCCTCTCCCCACCCAGCCCCACTGCCACCATGGCCCCGGTTCTCCGGGCCCAGACAGCCCGTTTGCTTTAACATGTTCGTCACATTGTGTTTGTCACTTGTGGCCATCCAGACCACGGAGCAGAGGCCACATCTCCCGTCAGGAAAATAGCCCTGGCACCCGCAGCAAGGCTGGGTGTGGAGCCCCGCACCCACAGACGGCTGCTGGACCTGGCAGAGCACAAGCTCTGTGACCCTCCAAGCGGCCCTCCTGGCTGTGAGTGGCCTTCTGCCCCAGACCCAACGGAGAAAACCCAGCCCAGCACGGTGGGCACTGCGAGGCACCTAAAGGGCAT